GAGAGAGAGAGAGAGAGAGAGAGAGAGAGAGAGAGAGAGAGAGAGAGAGAGAACACTACTGTCCAGATAGGGCAAACAGACCCAGAAGGATTGAAGAGGGCGACACATGTTGCAGTCATTTACAGCTGCATCTGGACTGAAAGTTGCATCAAATACAGAAGAAAACGGAGGGTAGAGTGATGGAGGGGACCCCTAACAACCGTCTTCACCCAAACAGAGCGCCTGGTCCTTATCGCTGTATCTAGGCTGAAAGTTCCATCAAATACAGCTATAATGGTATGTTCGGGGGAAGACGGTGAAGTGTGACACATGTTGCAGCCAAACATGAGAGCATGGAATATATGCTATGAAATTTGGACCGGATACGATCGCACCGAACCTGTGATGGACAGGATTTTATCAGCTACAGGTCCGCAGACGGTACACGCTTGACCCTACCAGTTCCCACCAATCGTTGTGGGCTCATTACAGCTGTATATGGCATGAAACTTCGACCCGATACAATTGCAATGAACCCCTGATGTGAGCATGTGGCTCTTTGAGATCCAACAATGCCGTACCTCACAAGTTCGTAAGAGACATTGGTGGGTAGAAAGCATTACACTTTCCGAGCCATGAACTGGACCAGATGCGATCACAATAAAGTTGAACGAAGCTGTGAATTGGCCCGTATACGTACTATACGATCACAACGAACCTTTTTGTCCCCATTTAATCCAACGATTGAGCTCAAACCACAAGCACCTTTCCGAGCCATTTTTCTCCGATGCGGCAGTCAGTTAAGGCACCGCAACTTGGAAGGGGCACGAACTACCAGAGCTAAGTGGCTGACGACGCCAGCCAGGAAAGAAAAGGCGCACAGGATGCTTCTAGGCTCGGCAAGGGAAAGGTCATAAGTTCTGGTGGTTTAAACAACGAGCACCTTGCACGGCTACACAACAGAAGGTGTCAGTTAACACCCAGGGAGGCTCAGCCTACTGGACATAGAAGGCTGGTGGTGCCTGGTAGACCTTTTACCCGCGACAGTGTGAAAGTCCAGGGGCAGGAAAATAGAGCGGCAGGAAAAAGTGGCTCAGAGATAGTGTCGTTTTCATTTGGCAAGCTTGTCGTGTCTGACGTCAGACTTTTGTCACAGGGTGGCTTTTCTCGACCAGTCAGAGTGTAGTCGGACTACGAACATCGGTCTAAAAATACGTTTCCCTGTGCTTCCAAAGCTTCTCCAATGATCCGACTCGAATTTGATCCCAAAAAGGCAATCACGCAAGTCCACAACGTTCACACCACACTCGGGCTGCACAGCAACCAGACAGACAAGCTTAGTGCCCGTGGTGCGGGCGGTGAGACACATGCACTATGCATCACCCGCGGCCGCAGCCGCAGGGTCAAGCTCGGAGGGCGGGTGAGTTCATGGCCGAATCCGCGGCTGGGGTCGGCCGCATAGCGGCCACGTTTTTTCACGGATTTTTCTCATCGACAATAATAGGCAAAAAAAAATAAAAATAAAAAAAACATTTTTTAAAAGGAAACAATGAATTTTAGGGAATTATAAAAAAATAAAAAACAGAAAAGGTGCAGCCAAGAAAAAAAAAAAA